TTATAGATATCGTATTTAGTAAATTAGTATACTTTGGAACAAAGAATCAGAAATTTCTAGCGTTATCACTTATCTTATTTGGAATTTTCAAGTGTAATTCAAACAAGAACATCATCCTTGTGATAACCTCATACGTCTTATCTTTTGACAACCACTTGGGACTTATAGCAGGCAGTTTATGGTGTATAAATAACATAGAATTAGTAATAATATTTATTGTTTTTTATACAAAAACTATATTTGAACCCGCATATGAAAAACTACAGTGAAATTTTTAACACGCTTTTTATATGTATGTGTTTCAATGTATGCATATAAATATATGATTATATACGCATACTGTTTGCTTGCAAATGTGGATGTTATATTTTAAGATAACGTTTTTTATATAATAAATAATGATAATTTTAAGAAATATGATAAACTGATATTCAGGAAAAATCCATGAACGTAATGTAAATATTTTGAATATACAGCATCTTTTAATCTATAAGATGTTGGCAACCAAGTTTTACATAAAAAGATAATATTTATATTATTAGAGGTTTTCAAAAAAATATCCACGATGCATAAATTCGTACGACGTTAAGTTTTATAAATAAAACAAAAACACTTAAAACGTTCATGTAATTGGAAATTAGATAGATTAGATCTGTAATTAGTTATTCTTTATAAAATAAAAATTATGTAATAGCAGTGGTGCATTTTTTTGAAATAATTGAAAGAGCTTTTGAAGTACTGAAACCGGTATCAAGCTGTAGTGATGTATGAATTAACTTGATACTATAATTATAAAACATAGAACATAGAGCATAAAATCTAAAATGATATAATGAAGTGCGCAAATAGTTAAGACAACCATTGGGCTGCCTTTTAATAGCAATATGTTAGAACTAACAAAGCAATTAGTAAATATTATTTTGAGATTGCAATCAATATGGAAATGAAAAAAATGCATCCAAGTTATCTTATTGTAGTTTGTACCAGAATTTTCTTGAAACGCACCTGAGCTTTAGATTTGTAGTGGCAGCAAATAGATATTGATATATTATCGCAAGCATTCTATTCTTTATCTATTGTTACAAATATATATTATAATTGTATATATCAATTATAATAGTCTAAGAGCCAGTGAACTATTTGACTAACCTGTTTTCACAAAGCCAGAAATTTTTCTAATGATATTTTATTATAGGCCCATTAAGAAAATACCATTCTGGCAGTCATTCCGCGGTTGCGTCATCATCCCTTCAATTTGTGAAAATGTAAAAAAAAAAATTTTTATAACTTGCTCGCACAAGGCTCAAATTTTGAGGGTGTCTTCTTTTAACTGTTCAGAAAGCATATGTAAAAAGCCAGCCCATTCTGACGGTTGCAAGGGTCTGCCAGAAGAGTACATAATAGTCATGACGCGCAAGGGTGTGGGCGCATTGCCATACATAATTGACTAATATCCTTGTATTTGAATAATTTATACGCCATTTTAAAGGTCATTTTGAAAACATCCGTTATACCAAACTTCAACTTTGTATCTCACCTTATGGCCGAGATATCATTGAAAATATGCCAAAGTGGCCCCTTTTTCAAACTCAATTTTTGGCGTAACCATAAAAGATATCGAAAAAAAAATTACGTGATTCTACTCATATTGGCTTAAACCACATAATGTATAGTAATATATGCTAAATAATCCTTTATTATTAGCTAAAAAGGATAAAATAATTTTTCAATTAATGTTTTCGGATAGTGCGTTTTGTTCAATTACTTTATTTTTAGCGTTATTTAAAAGCCTATTGTTTTCTCTTTTAGTACTGCAAATATGGTTTAAATCAAATTTGTGGAACACTTTGAAAAATTGAAGAAACCAGAACCAGTACACCCGCGCGTAACGCTAATGGTCGCCCGCATAGAATTCGTTCGGTCGGATGTGCGATGCGTTACGCGCGGGTGTACTGGTTCTGGTTTCTTCAATTTTTCAAAGTGTTTCACAAATTTGATTTAAACCATATTTGCAGTACTAAAAGAGAGAACAATAGGCTTTTAAATAACGCTAATAATAAAGTAATTGAACAAAACGCACTATCCGAAAACATTAATTGAAAAATTATTTTATCCTTTTTAGCTAATAATAAAGGATTATTTAGCATATATTACTATACATTATGTGGTTTAAGCCAATATGAGTAGAATCACGTAATTTTTTTTCGATATCTTTTATGGTTACGCCAAAAATTGAGTTTGAAAAAGGGGCCACTTTGGCATATTTTCAATGATATCTCGGCCATAAGGTGAGATACAAAGTTGAAGTTTGGTATAACGGATGTTTTCAAAATGACCTTTAAAATGGCGTATAAATTATTCAAATACAAGGATATTAGTCAATTATGTATGACAATGCGCCCACACCCTTGCGCGTCATGACTATTATGTACTCTTCTGGCAGACCCTTGCAACCGTCAGAATGGGCTGGCTTTTTACATATGCTTTCTGAACAGTTAAAAGAAGACACCCTCAAAATTTGAGCCTTGTGCGAGCAAGTTATAAAATTTTTTTTTTACATTTTCACAAATTGAAGGGATGATGACGCAACCGCGGAATGACTGCCAGAATGGTTTTTTCTTAATGGGCCTATAATAAAATATCATTAAAAAAATTTCTGGCTTTGTGAAAACAGGTTAGTCAAATAGTTCACTGGCTCTTAGACTATAATTAGCAACTACATTGACGTGCTGCATATCACTACGTATTTTTATTCGTTTTCCTAATTGACGTGTTAGCCCCAAATTACGACAATGCTTATCAGTCATTTAACGAATCATTGAATGGTCATAAAACCATGTTTTTGATATTGATTAAAATCATTATACACGTGGCAATAAGGTAAATTCATAAAATCTGAATACTTGTTTTACTCAAGATTAAATATATTTTTACTTAACTAATAATTTTGTTAATTACCACTTGGAATTATTTAGTACAAAGTACATATTGCCATATGCCTACTATTTTTCAGTGATAAATAAATTCATGAGAATTAAAAAAATACCAAAAATCGACCAAAATATGAATAATATAAATATAACAGATTTATTTTTACGCACATGATATTAAAGCGTTTAAAATATATTATTTTTGAAATTAGGTTTACTACTAACAAGTATAAAGATATGATTTTTAATAAATCAGTTTTTTAATGAATACATTTTTTAAGTGGGTACGGTTATGCCACTTATTTTTTGATCAGCTATAATTACTACAATTATCCAAGCAAAAACTAATTGCTGATAAATAACTACTACTGTTCAACTTACACCAAAATAACAAAATAGTAATTCATCTGTATACTGTAGCTGTTATGATGACTGTCACTACCGTACCCTGCCGCGACTGTACCCAGTCTCCCATACACAACTTTTTATATTTTTTTGAACTAATATTTTAATAGGTTTTTTTGCTTTTAGGTATGGAGTAAAATACTGTAAAATTTACTTCATAATTGATAAGTATATTTATTAATAACTTAAATAATACCAAATTAATAAGCAGAGGGAAGTCCCGTAACGCTGGACGGCACCAAGCACAGGGCACTCTATTTAACAAGTATTACTTATAAATATAAAGATTTATATGTATAAATCTTCATTTCAAAATACTAGTGAAAGGGGCATGAGGGGCACACAGGTACAGGATCACGCCTCAAGCCTCGCCTGTGACGCACACGGCCACGGCGAGAGCAACCCTTTCCTGTTTTAGGCGCAAAATCACGGCATCACCTAAATATCAATGGAAGTAATTCTAGCATATTTATGCATTTACATTTGAGTGGTATGCAAAGATAAAAGTTGTAATAGATTGTTATCCGAAAAATGGTAGAATATTTTTAGATCTTTTAACCAATTTTAATAGGTGCCACCAAATGAACGAAAATGTCTATCCCTTAGCACCGGACACTAAATCGTCCCTTAGTGCCGGACAGTAAACATATTGATATTTCTTGTGAGAATATACGTAATTTATTCCAATTATTTAATTTTGTTCTGTATGAGTGCTAACGGTCACTACATACACCTATTTTTCGTATTTCCTAGTCGAAGAATGAAAAGCTTATTGTGAATGCACCAGCTGAGAGCATCGGTTTGGCGCAGCCAAAAGGGTGGATGAATAGTGACTTTTTTTTGCAATATCTAAGATTATTTGTCAAAGACACATGTGCAGACATTCCAGAGTGTGTAGATGGCTACATATGTGATCAATGCAGGTTATTTAGAAATGTGCGGTACTAGGTGCTACTGTTAAAAATCATATGTTTTGATACCAAAGTTTGATTGATAGTATTAATTATTTTTTAGCAAAGATTGCGATTTTGTTAATTTAGTTTGATTCCTAACTTTGTTATCTAACAAAAATCATAATTTAATAAACATTTCGTAAAATATTTTTTGATTTATTTATGAATAACCTTAGGTGTCTGTCACTAGGGGACTTCCCCCTATACTTACTAATAACCTAAATAATACCAAAAATAACCTAATTAATAACAAAATTATAAATTAGGTAAGAATATATTAATAAATCAATATTATAATATTGCTTTTAGTGTGTCTGTTTCAAGCCGAGTTTTGTCACTTGTTCAAAAACTATTTATTAAAGAAAATATTCATTCCGAGAAGCATTTGTGTCAGAAAAGCATTCAGGATTAAAGGGTGTTGCATATACTGAAATGCACAATTGCTATTTAAATTTTGTAAAAATAATTGTAGTTGAAACAAATATGAGAACAATGTATTTAAAAAATCAGGAACAATCCGGGGCCAAAACCTGCCTGCGATTCAAATATTACTTCTGAAAAAATCCGGGTTGCAAGTTGTAAATCCGAGATTGTTTCTGTCTACTAAAGTAAACGGAATTTACAATACGATTAAATTATACTGAAAAGTGCACAACTGACAAAAACAATGTACTTCTCATTTTTATAACTTCAAGCATTACTTTGTTTTCAGAAACAAGTTGTGCGTTCCAATGTTACCTTCAACGCTTTTCTGATGGAAGGAGTTCCTTCGATGTCGCCAGAAATGCATCCAGTGTCCATGACGCGACATCTAACTTTATCTGATGACATGAAGGAATACTGGGCGTTTTACCTTCTCAAGGAATCGGTCGTCACAGTTTCATCTTGTGTCAGGTAATATTACCTCGCACGCAGAATAAAGTAAGTATTGTATACATTATTTTTTATTAGGTGGCCTGGTGCATCGTTGGTTGTGATTAGAGGTCACAGGCATCTCCATGAATGTGCTTTTATAGGCGACGACTCTTCGGAAGAAGACGAGGAAATGTTTGAAATCATGTCGAACGAGAGGAAAAGAAGGCCTGTTAGTGAAGTGCAACCAGATATTACTTTCAATAATGACGAAGCACCATCAAATAATCCAGGTAAACTACTACTATAAATATTTTGAATTATAAATTTATTATAGAAAATAGATGGAATTTGTTGAACCTATGATTATAATCCATATCATGATTAAAATATTTTTAATACATTGCAATTGTTGTTTATCAGTAGTAATACTTGAAGTAGGAAATATATAGCATTACAAATGATTCGCATATTCATTGAATTGCAATTTATCTGCATAAATCCACTTAACTTGCAAATTATAAATATGTAAATACACATATAATATGATGTTCTTTAATTTATATTTATCATTTTGTGACCTTTGTTTTGAAATCTTTTGCAATGCATGCATGGTTTTTATCATACACCTTCACAACTAAAAATAATATCTAAATTTCGGCACAAAAATCAAAATAAATTATAGAGATACAAATATAGTTACTTATAGATAATTTATATATAGAGAAAAAAGTATTCTAAATTACTTCTAGATGGTTGAAAAATGATGAAAATATAAAAAAATAGCAACTTACACTGATAGTGAGAAATAAAGATAAATATGAAACGTAATCCGTTAAACTTACTTGGCCAAGAGTGCATGACGTAATAAGATAATTTTTTTGTTTGTTTTTTGTGTTATTATGAGCATAACATAATCGTTTGTTTAGCAATATTTATTTACTTACTTACCATAACTCGCTGAAACTAATTTTTAATACCAATTTGATTAATTTGATTTTATATCTTATGTGGATAGATGATGAAGCAAATAAAATAAAAAAATAAAAAATAAAATAAAAATAACTTGAAGATTGTTCTTTAACTTTAATAGGCTCTCTGAGTCAGCGATAGCTTCTACATTACTTTGTTGCATATTAGAGATAAACAAATATATATGTACAACTATTACTTATTCTAAAAAAGTAATAATGGCAATGTTGTTTTTTCGAACAATGATAGTATTTATCTTCAAATTCAATTAGACCAATTCCATTAGTCTGATTACTATTAAAAAATCTTTCAGAAAAATTCTCTTACTACAACGACAATGTTGTCATGCGGTTGAAATAATTCTGTAATTTTTTTATTCCGATGTATTAAGTTTTAAAATTATTTTGATAAAAATTGGTTTTTAATTATTTTTAGTTAGTAAGTATGAATTATTTTAAGGTTTGATGAAACGTCATCGCAGCGATGTGGTATTCCATCACGAGAACAATCAACAAACGAATCAAACGTTACCAGCTACCAGAATCGACGATCGAGATGACGATCTTCATCTATTTCTTAAGTTGAGTTCTATGAAAGCCTACGGAAAAAAGAAAACCAAAGTGACTTCAACAGAAGATGATAATCACGTCCACAAACATCGAGAATTGAGTTATGGTGATAAGGAATCAAGTTTTATTACTTTAGGTCAACGCCCAGAAACTGTGCAACATTACGAAAAGTATAAAAAGCCAAAACCAGAATCTTCTAACGAGTTAATGGATACGATTCTGAATAAACTAGAACTTATGGGAGATAGGGGTCATGATATTTTGAAAAGATTAAATGAGAAATTGAAGTTGACTCAAACTACAGATTATGTCCAGAGCCCACAGACAACCGAGACCATTCAAGACGTCGAAAAAGATACCACTTCAACTCCAACTTCCGATGATAATGAAGAAACCGAAAAGATTAGACAAAAAAGGGAAGCTGCTGCAGTTAAATCTCAAATGAAGGAATGGTTGAACAATGATGATAGGGAAAACGATGCAGCAATTGAAAAGGTAAGATTCGGTATCTATCCCGGTTATCATTCATTTTTTTATATTATCTCATCATCCATATGTTTACATTTTGCATTTTTTTAAAAACAAAGAAAATTTTTAGGATTTAGTTCCAGATGGTATAGCTGATCATCATCGTATTTTGAACGAAACTACTTTAAATGATCGTTCGAATTCGGAATACTGGTCATCATTTTCATCAAGTGAAGAAGCATTATTGAACTGCGCTGGCTTAATCCTCAGTTTGCCATTAACCCCAAGCATAAAATGTGAAAAAGGAGCTTCGGAGGGTGATTTGGAAGAGGCCTCTCTTATAAATGCAGTTACATACAGGTGATTTTAAAATATCGATAGTCGAAAAAACGAAAAAAGAGCACATAAGGTTCACACGCGATTGAAGTAAAACCTCTTTTGCTACTGTATGAGATGGCATTTAAGTTAAAAGTAAATACATCATATAGCAATTTTGAATAATGTTTATTAGAAATATAGTAACACTCGTGATGCACACATTTATTATTGCCAAACATTATACATATTTATATAATAATAAATTATAAAGTATATATTTATAATAACATTACAAATATTCATAATATTTTACAACGAGAGATCTCTATTGACTCAACACGACGACTAATCACAATCGACCGAAATGATTTCATCGAGAGCGGATGGCTAACAGTTCGAGCGTAACGCAACTTCCGTTGCATTTGCACGGGTTTACTCCTTACCCGCGCTTTGAGAAGTTTTAGTTTAAGTCGCACGGACTAGATTTAGGAAAAACATTGTCTTTTATTTAAATTCAAATATATTTGCATGCTGCCAAGAGAATATCAACTTGCCTCGTATCGGTTCTGTCTGTAATTTTTATGTACTTTTCCAGGGTTCACTCAAACGGGTACTACTTCTTCGTTTTTAGCAGCGAGAATGAAGTTCGAGATAATTTTATTCAAGTCCATTTCAATATTAACCGCAGTGTGTACAACGTTACAAATTCGATAGCTGAATGCAGAAATTCAACAGAAGTATGCTCGCTGCCTCTGAAGTTCTTTTCTGACGAAAAGGTAATTATATAATAGATTCTTTACACTGACCGAAAATGCATGCAATTTCACTCTTTACTAACAATAAGTATAAATTATATGTGTATGTGTGTAATATATATTATATATATACAAGAAATTGTGACCAAAGAAATTGCTTCATAACCGCCTTCTCTTGTTTTCATCATATGTGCTTGTTTTTCCGTCGTTGTATACAACAATTCAGTTCTTGTATTTGACCAGCATTAACCCTTTCGACTCGGATGCCGCCACTCCGGCGGCATAGTCATTTTACCGTTGCGCTCGGATGTCGCCGCTCCGGCGGCATGGTATGTTTTACCGTTAAGCTCGGATGCCGCCGCTCCGGCGGCAAATCGTGGCGGCAACGACTCGTCGCAAACTAAACTTACATTTAATTTTTTTTTATTTTTTAAAAATTAATTTACTATTACATTCATTTATTGATTGATTTATTAATTTTATAAATAAATATATAACAAAATTAATTTATTAGCTCATGATCCCCATAATTCTAATAAAGATCTGTGAAGAAATGATTTTTTAAACAATATAGCATGGTTTTGAGTGCAATTTTTTTAATTTTCAAAATTTTCTATTTTATTATCATAATAACTATATTTAAAAGCAATATAACCACATTTTGAAAAAATCCGATACAAAAAAAAATTCCGAGTTGAGAGATGAGACTAGCAGTCCGACTACCGAGTCGAAAGTGTTAAATTATAGTTGCTAACAAAAATTAGAGCATGTGGATTATTCTGTCTCATATCAGATTCTATAATTTTCGTAATTCATATTTAGTATGATCAATTTTATTAAAAAAATGACCTTAAATACTCCGCAATTCACTCGTCATATTATTTTTTGCTCGAAAGTATTCTTTCAATGTCAGTGTTATCATTACATGTAAGTCTGATGTCACATACAACGTTTTTTGGAACTTCTCATATCTGTTTCGAATTTATTTTACAAAACAATCATGTATTGTTACGAATGATCGCTATTTTATTCAGCAAATTTTTGATGAGGGCCGGCCGTGGTCCCGTGGTAAGAACGTGGGCTAGCAAATTCTAGTCCCGGGTTCGAATCCAACCTCGGTCGGTTCGGTATCAAAGCAGCTTGATACCAAATTTTCACTTGAAATCATAGATGTCAAATATCAAATATGATTTCAAGTGAAAATGGCCTTTCGTGGGCATAGCTGTAGTGGCAACATGCCACTTGGAAGTAAAAAGTCATCACTATTACAACAATTGTAATAATTCAGCACATAGAGATGGGACAACTGTTTGGGTTGCTATCTATAATAATTGTAAGATAATTGATCACAACAGCTCATAGAACTCATAAGTTCTGATCGCTGTTAAAATATTAAAAAAAAAAAAAAAAAATTTTGATGCGATGATGGTGAAGAGTAGATAGTGATTTATATAATATATTACGTTACTATATATAATATTACGTTTCTAAACATGAGTTTGTTAAAAAGATTTAAAAATTAATAATTTTATAGTAAAAGTATCGAGAAACAATTTGTAACATGTAAAAAAATTATGCCGGTTATTGGATAAATGGTAAAATTTAATGCCTGAGTTTTTCTTTTCCTTTCCCGAGTTTCATTTTATACAAATGGAACGGTTCTTAGACTAAACATTCATATGCGCTCTATTTTTTCTAGAATGTGCTCAAAAGATCAAGATGTCTTACTTAAAATATAAGTTTATAAAAAAATTATTTAAACTTTTCGCTAATTTCAATAACTCAATCTACTTAAAAATTACCTAAAATATTGTTCAACTCATAATCCTTTAACTGAATTAGCATTTCTCTCATTTATTCATTATATCTAACTTGAAATCGTCTGTTCATCATCAGTGGGGATGAGCATTCGTTTAATTCGGGGGCTTTATGATAACTCATTTAATAACTTGCAAAAACAAATCATCTACCATAGTTCGCGAATTTTATTCAATAATGGGGATTTCAAATTTCCTGAATATTGATTAATTGTATTTTTAATTATACATCTTTTTTTATAATTGTACCCTTTTCTTATACATCAGTTGAATGCTTTTGTAACAACAAACATTTGTTAACAAAAACAATTTTTTGCTGATTTGACAAAAATTACTGATCATGGAAAATTTTCATAAAAATCATTTTTAGCCTAGAATTTAGGACAAAAAGTTTCTGAAGTCTTTTGTGTTTATTGTGAAATCAAAGGTGGAAAATATTAGTGAATAATATAGAGTCTGACAGAAATAACGGATGGATTTCCATGTACTGTAAATAATGAATAACGACATTTAAACAGAAGTTTCTGTATTGCTAAATATTTACGATATATTAAAGTTTATTCGTGTAAAATAATGTCTTTTAAATGGTGTCTCTCGTTTGCAATTCAGACGATCTCTGAAGTTTTTCGTATCAAGTGTTGTCATTTCAGGCGGTAACTTTACAATATCTACTCTGATTGTTTTTTCTAAGGCATGGGTGGTTTGATGCAGTTAGTTTCTTCTTTGAGGATGATGACCCATGGAAAAAAATCAGCCCTGGCCATGTTATGTCACTATAGTGTAAAATAATGTGGCCGGGAAACATCTGATTTGACGTGTTATGTGGGAAGTGGTCATGGTTAAAACCATATCTCACCTTTAAGGTTCAATTCAGGTTGCAGGAAGGTTTGTGTAAACTTCTCTCATAAAAGTTTGGTTTTCATACTCAAAAAAGCAGACACCATTCACGTGCAGCCTGAAAAAGGGGGACAGGTTTGGCGGAAAAGCACGAATTATGACATTGGGTGCGGGGGTGTTTTGTTATATATCACGTGTATTTATTTTTCACCTGAATTTGAAAGAAAACTAGTGGGGTGCATGGCATCGTGTCTTAAGGCACATTGCTGGAACTTCCCGTACCGTAATAGAAAATCTTGGTACGAAACCCAAAAAAAAAATTACACAAAGTTTAATACATTATTTTAAAGTCTCTATAAAATATCTGATAATTTGATGTACATATGTCCAATAAACATTTTTGACCGCAAAGTGACATTTTTTTAACTTATTTTTATTGAGAGTCCTTAACCGCTGGATCTGCTTTCCCAAAAATTTAATCAGTTGTTTATCTTGTCAATACTTGTAAAATGTTTCTGTTCTCTTTAAAACTGAGTTAGCGTTTTTGACACTTTTTACTCCATATCTTCGGAACGGCTGTACCTGCCTTCACCAAAAACTAATCAGCACATCTCCTTATCAATACGATACGAATGTTATTCAAATCGGTTGATCGGTGTTTCCGAAATCGTCGACGAAAATTTGTATTTGCACACACACACATACATTCATTTTTTCTAACAAGTATGCCAAAATGTTCAGAAACTTCTGAAACGTAAAGATATATAAAATTTTCGATTTTTTTGCGATTACTATAACTTACTCTACGGGAATTTAATCAACATTTTTCAAAATATTTCCAAACTTTTTACGTTTTTTTTCTAGGTATTAAAAATACAAGTGATATTGGGCGGGGGAGAGAGGTTTAATTTTAAATATCAGCAAGTATTACTAAGGGGAAAGGAGAGGTCCAAAAATCCTTAAAAAATTATCACGTGATTAATAAACGCCTCCTTTGGAAATAATGGCTTTTGAAACTTTATCAATTAGTGTGCACAAAACTCCAATACATTTTTCTACCTTCACCCACATACAAACCATAATCGCTGAAAATCCATCGGTTATTTCTGCCAGACCCTATATAGTTTTGATTCTAATGAAGAACCATTACAGCAATTTATCATTAGAAGTAAATTATATACTAAATCAATTAGTGTTATATGAAAAATGTACATAGCATTGCATATATGCTCGTCTTATTTTTTTTGTCTTCCCTAAAAATCGTTATGTGTGATATCAGCTTTATATGACTGTTAAGAATTCGCTCTATATATTTAAATATATATATATATATATATTTAAATGTAAAATATATAGTATTGTAACCAATTAAAATTCTATTATTAGCTGGTGCTCGAGTTGCCGCTAAAGAGCAACGATTCTCTATCGAACAAAGAGTTCATTGTGATATCAGAATGCGAGCCCCGTACCGCCATCTACGTGGTTTGCGTGATAGCTGTCCCTCTGGTGATAATAGTGTTCGCGTTCCAATGATCGTCCGAGAGATGGAAGTTAAAATGTTCGGCTAATTGGTTTGAAAGTCCTTATTTTATTGTAAAGCGATATCTGACAAGGTCCTTTTTCAAGATCTTTTCATTTATTGCTTTATCAGCGCTGTGATATAAACATATCTAATCTACGTGTTCTGGTTAGTCTTAAGTATTCGATTAGAATCAAATTAGAAAAGATTCTGCCTCGGACTGGAAGATTTTAAAGGGTGAATACATGATCTAGCTAATTGCAATTCAGTTTATGTACTGCTGATTATGTATATAAGATGAAATTTTACCTAAAATGACATTAATTAAAACATATTAGCCCATTGAATTACATGCAGCACAACTTAAAAAATAAATTGTGTGTCATTGTCTGGGTATTATATGCAAAATCTTATAATTAAGTCATTTATAAAAAAGTAGCATTTTGATTTTTAATATGCTATAAATTGATTTATGCCCATTCATGCAAATTTAACGAAATGAACTAAATAAAAATATTTCTTGTCGTTTGGTTTGTAAAATTTATTCCAGTTTATTCCAGTTGTATATTTTTTTAAATTTAATCAAAAGATTTCTAAACGGTTACAACAATAAACTAATACAAATTTTTAACTATATATCCAATTACAGTTTTTCTTGAGAATAAGTGTTTAAGGTTTCTTAATATCTTGGGCTAATATGGGTTATTTCGAACAATATAATTGATATTTTGAGTATTGTTAAAGACCTATTTGTAATATTTTTTAAATATCTATAAATTAAAATTTTAAATGGTTATTTTTTCCCATTGTTATTAATGGAAGTGATAATATTAGTTTAGTTTATAATGTTGTATGTAAGTTGTCGGCAAATGTACGATATTTTCTTAGTCAGGCCGATGTCTTCTAATAATGTCTTTTTTTACTAAAAGTTTCGAAATTTGCTTAAGGACAACTATTTGTTAAAACATTTGTAATTTTTATTAAAACAATTACGAAACATGAAATGAAATTGGGCTCTGGTCTTCATTATACAATTTTCTAAATTGGATTAATTGTCCCGATGGCGTGGAATTTTTCTAGCTTCTTAAAAGTTTAGTTTCTTCGTAGTTTTACGTGCATTCTTTAGTAATATAAAATATAACAGCATATTCAATAAGATTTTTAATAATGAACGAGGATCCTGTTTCGACGCTTTTTATAAAAAAGACATTTTTCTAAAATGCCTTAAATGTATATTAGCTTATGATCTTCTGAACAATATAGTAGATGTTTCCAGGAGCACAGCTAAGTAAGTGGTTTCACAATGTATCATTGTGATTAAAATATTAATGTCGACAATGCTGCTTTTGTACGATATTTTCATTTATTCTGCAAATTGATCTCGTTAATCATATATTGTTCCAGATACCTTGACATAATATAACTTAGAATTTCTGAGGTTTTGCCATCTTGGAAGTAAGAAATTTTGAGAGAAGGACCTTGACGTCTTGGTCCTTGACAGGTAATATCCTGGAACTGGATATCTGGAACTAAATATATTTGATCTTTGATATTCTTAAGCGTTAATACCTTTAAGACTTGATATACTTCAAATCATGATCTCCTGAAACTTTATTATGAGCATATTTTGAGCCATTGAAACTGAAACTTCATTTGAGCAAAAAATCGTTTATATTCCTCAATGTCCTGGATTCTTAAGATTCGTCACGGAATATTATGATTCCCACGAACTCATATTGAAATTTTATCATTCTAATACCATAAAGTTCGAAAATATTAAAACTATTCAAATTTGAGGTATTGAACTTCAGCCAATAAATTTAAATTTTAATCTTATTAATCAATGTGGTTTGAAGGCAATTATTTAGTATTGAGAACAAAATGATCGTATCGTATAAAAACAGTGCATTGTGTTTTATTGTTGCCGATAATTTAGTTTTAATGGGTGATTCAAGAAATTACTTGATTATTGTAGATAGTTGATATTAGACCAATAAAATTATGTAAATATTCACAAAGTTACAGCTGCGCAACCGTCTTTCTTAAAATATTCGTAATAATTTAGTTTTTACATCTGAAATGAATTTTGCATTTAATTGTATCAAATAAATCATGTTATTTGTGTACCTGCAGTCTGTGATTGAACATATATGCATTTGCTAAAATATTGGAAGTTGTGAACATGCATTATTTGTAAATAAAATTTTCAAATTTTATCATAACATAATCCGTTTCATTTCTGTGTTTTTATAAATGAAATAAGACATATAGAAGTCGAAACATAATTACAGGAAATGGAAATGATTTATATGATATCTTTGCTTGCAGATGCAAATAAAAATGTTTCTTTTTGAGTTTCAGTTCACGAGAGGGTCAAACATTATTGATTTTAATGAAAACTTTCAATTTTATAACAACAAATAATACCATTACCGTAATAAATATTATAATAATTGTTGTTTCTGAATTCCTTTACTATAGCAACAAATACTAAAAGTAATGAAGTTTCTCGCAAAGAGGTATCTTTCAATAAAAATGTAAGAATCGTTGTTTTATAAGATATGAAATTATTTATTTTGTTACTGGACAGGTACGACAAAAATTATGTATTACATTAAATTTTAATTTAGTTGTACAAAATTCTTCAGTAAACAAATGTAGAACTTATTTTTGTAGATTTTTTTTTCATTCAAGGTAATATTTCACGTTACTTTTAACTTCACACATTTTGAGAGATTTCATCGACGAGAATAAAAATGAAATATGAGATTTCGGGGTTGTACATCTTGAAATTTCATAAAATTGTATTCTTAAGGTCAGCAATAAAAATTTTGAGATATCGCATCGAAATATTGTATTTTTTGCGATCTTCTCAGTCTGAAAATAATTAAGTATTAAGTTGATAAAGGAGAATGATGGAATATTGTTCAAAATTGTTTATTACCTATTAATTGCGAAGAAATAGTTACATTGGTGTTTACTGAATTACACTAAATTGAGGATTTTTAAAATCGGTTTACGATTATCTGAAAAATAATCATTATAGCTTTAAATAATCATTAGAAAAAATACTTATCCGGGCTTTACAGAAGACTAATAAATATGATTTCAAATAAGTTTAATCAAATTTATAAACATTAAAATTTGTGGGAAAACTTTAGAAAATGAGAAAATTATTTTTTTAACTATGCTATTACTAACAATAAGTTTATTTATCTATGGCTCTGCTAATTTATTCACGAAACTACTGAAATTTACCGATATTTTTTGAGTAGTTTGAGTTTGAATAATTTTTGATTTTTTTAAGTTGTAATATTATTAAAATATGTTTGTTAGATATATCTTTTTCATAACACATACACATCTATATAGATAGAATTGAGCCAGATTCAGAACTGTGCCAGATTTTTAAAAAATGCGTTAGACAAATTCTTGTTTCAAGATTCGTAGTACAAAATATTTAAAATATTTTTGTAAATATGGACAATCCATAAAACCAAAAACAACGCTTAATCAAAAAAAAAAATGAATAATATGAATATTATAATTTTTTATAGACCTGTAGAAACTTTAATGTCTGATACCTATATTGAAAAATGCAATTGTTATATCGAAATTAGTAGTACGACTATTTGTGATATCTCTTATTATAAGAAATATTATTAATGTTTCACTCATATTATACACCCTTTCTGGACAAATTTTAGGTTTTAAAAAATACGCAATTTACTAAAAGATTATTTTTTGAAAATCAATCAGTATTAGGAATTCTATTCGTGATATCATTTACTTTTTTATTTTATTTTTATATAACAACAATCTAAACTTTTTCGTTTAATTATTTTTTTGAATGCTGCTTATTTCTTGGTTAAAACACTATTACAAAGCAATCCATCGATTGTCCAAACTAGCTGAAATATAGTTCATATTAATTTTTGAATGCTATTAGAGAGCAGCCACATGGTTGCTTTTCTATTTGTGATATTACAGCTATGTTCATGAAGAGCGAATTTCACTTGCGATTTAATTTGGGATTTATAACCTCAAGTGGAAATTTGATATTGAGCTGACCGAGGGTCCATTCAAGACCATTATGCCACAGCAGACACCTGAGGTTTTTTGAAAGCGAAAATCGAACCTGCCACCTTGTTGCTGCAAGTTGAGTAATTATTTGATTTTTTCTTTTTGTACAGCAATCAAAATTTTGATATTTTATAACCTGTGGTAACGATTTTTGTTTGTTATTTTACTTCCTACTTTTACTAGTTGCTATTGGAAAGCAACCCAAATGCATGCCCTGCTCTAGTTTTGTTATATTTTTATCAGATGGCAATCAATTGGTCTTATTTTAATTGTGATATTTGATTTGTTTGCAGCAAATTCTGGCAAGACTTTTTTGGACACATGGAAATAAATTCGTGATCTAAATTTTTTAGTAAAAATGGATCACTACTGCCAGGTTGTACGTAACGCAGGATTTGATTAAGAAATCTGGAGCTCTATATCACTTAGCTCTTAGGATCACTTGCTCCACTCTTCAAAAGCATATTTGTAAGTTCAGCATTTTTCATGAGTTTGAAATATCCTAACAAATCTTGGTCTTAACAATCTATCAACGACTTGCTAAAAAATTTCAACTATCCGTCAATATATTTGCCTATCCCTTGTTCCATTCCTGCACCGGTGGGCGTAGAGCAATGGGGTAGGGTGTGCGCCTCTCGGGTAATCAATTTGCCAACGTTTTCCCTTATCTCTGCGAAACACTCGTGTCGCGTTTACACCCACATCCGAAATTATTTCGGATTGGGCGCACACTTTTGGGGCAAAGGTATTTAGATGGAATAAGAGGTGTATTGTTATTCTTAACATTTAACTTACTGTTATTTTATGAGTGAAAGGTCAATTTACCAGATAATATATAAATAACTAGTGGTCCATGGCATTGTGTCTTAACGCAGATTGCTGGAACCTCCCGCACCAAAAATTAAAGTTTTTAATGAAGCTTAAAAATTTTTAAACATTTGGAAAAAAATAGATTCTTGAACATTTTGAAATCTTTGAAAAAATTGACTTTTTTGAAAATTATAATTTTCTTTTATATTTTAAATTTTTTTTAAGGTTTTGAACTTTTTTTAAGTTTTGCCATTTACAACCTTGGCCGCTGACTCATTGCGATTCGATCACGACAGTTTTTATTTACGTTGTTACAAGTGTTCGACTTTTCATCGCCAGTCACCAATCGCTTCAAAAATGGGGCGATTTTCTTGCGATTCGCAGATGAAATTTCGGTCCAGTAGGTCTCCGTGTGTCACCCGTGTTTTCTTTGTATTCAGCTTTATTCAAATGATGCCAAATGGTTTTTTGTGCAGTATTTAGCTTTTGTGCAATCGAAATCGCCGTAAATGACGGTTGGACTTTCGATAATTGGCTTTCCAGCCAGTGCGGAAATTTCCCGCGGGTGCGTGTTTGACT